TGTCCTAATTAATCAGTAAACAAACAACTGGTTGTAGCTTAGACAGGGAGGATCGCCTTCAATGGAATAGCAGTAGTTTACACAGAACCTGAAATGTTGGCTACATTACGTAAGCTGTATTCTTCAGGACAGACACTATTGAAAAAATTCCTCTTTTTGAAATTAATGTATTTGAATGATTCACAGACTTGACATCACTTATCATTAAATGTTACAATGGACCAATATTATTTATATATAGAGTTCACATACAATTTGCATTTTTTATTAAAAAGACAATATAAATGAGCAGAAAAAATCCAGATGCCGAACAAACCAGCAATACTAAACCTGTGAATACCTAGAAAAGTGTGGACATCTCAAAAACGTCCACACCCTGAACAATATCATGAGCCAAACACAAAGCCACAGCAAAATGTTCATTTCAAACAGGATGTATCAAGCAGAAAGAGGGTATCCTAAATTGTATTACTCATAAGGTATGTTAATATCATGTCATTAAGTGTTCCTATCCAACCTGATACAGTTATAAACACTGTGGCCTACTAGGAAGTACTTGCTTGCTTGGGGATGGGTCATCATTTTATCTACTTAATCCACATAACGTAATTATCAAAAGAAATGTATAAAATCAGCAATTTAAATTCATTATAACTTATTCTGAGGAATTAAATCAATAAGCTGAACAAAGTCAATCAAGTCAAGCATAAAATGTTAAACTGACAAAACAGTGCTCATAAACATATATTTTTGTAATATTCATAATGAATATTTACAATGAACTACGCTTATAATGATTATAATATAACAATTTATTACATGCTTTGTAGAACAGAGCCAAACAAACAAGTTTGCATATTCAATTTAACAATGGCCCGAAAAATAAATCATGTCAAATTATCCACATCGGTCGCAGCTTGGCAGTTTCCAAATAACAACAAAGAAATTGCAGCGTTAGTTTGTCCAAGGCATCCATGCCCTCTGAGCATCCAAATCCTCTTTTGTCCTCCTCTGAGAGCCGTAGCTGCTCAGGCATTAACTGGCGATTTTCATAAAAGCACCCTTCTTTCATAAATGGCACATTTTCCACCCCACACTTCAAGAAAGGTCATTTGAAGAGAAAGAAATGGAAGGATCTATTTAAGTGTGGGCTGTAAACAGACACGAGCTCTTGGCCTATTGGTTTGCTTGGCTGAAGACATTTGAACCCCCAAATTGGAGTAAATCTCCCAACAATAAATCTGGATTTAAACAAGGACCCTTTTGATTTCAATATCATGACACTGAATGCTTCCCCGTTAATGATTTGTTTACACTGTCAAGGAACTGCCTGTCTAATTAAATTACAGTGGTATCACATTTAAGCTGACAGGGAAGATCCACTAGTGCAAATACTTGAAATGCTTTGTCACTTTTAATGATATTAAACGATTGTTTACCGAACAGCACATTTACATTTGGTCAAACTTCATGGAATCTCACTGATTGTTGACATAACAGAAACTTCACAGGACTGGATTTTTTCTGTCCTTATCATAATTATAATCATGTATTCGCATAAAAATAGATACTAATCTCAATATAATAAACACCAAATGTAAAAAAGCAAAATTTAGCACAATGGATGTTCAAAAACTGATCTATACTGAAGAGCTTTAGCACGTTTAGGAAGACTTGCAAACAAGTGCTGGTAAAAAAGGGATTTGCAAATATGAAACTGACGTTTGACAGTTGAGAAAAGTTTTTAAATTATTACAAATACCACATGATATCAAAATAATCACAATAATTCGTTTTATATAACTGGTTTGTTTCCTAGTGTTGGCATACATTATTAACTGTATTTACTTGAGGATTTCAAGACATTTTGCAACTCATTTTTTAAGACATTTGTTTCAAAAACTTGACTTATTACCAAATGGTGTTTTTAAGCCATACTTCAAACAAAATTTCCCATGATCATTGAAAAAGACAGAAAACTGCTAATTCCAGAGCCACATAAGAACAGAGAAATAAAATAAGATTCACATGATGCTACTAGTTCATCTTAACCATGAACATAAAAATATATCTTTTCAACTGAATTTCAAAAATATAACATAAATTTATGTGAAAAACTACTAAACATGTGTTGATTTCATTGTCCAAAATGACAGCCAAGATACAATATAAGATACAAGATATCTATTGAGCAAACATTCCATATAGGAGCAGTGACCATTTTCTTTAAACTATGTAAAAATATGGTATATATAGTATAATTAGTGAACAGTATTTCGTCATTTTGGCCAAATCATTAACAATCCAGGGGACCAAATCATTAACAAATTAATCAATTTCTTCAGCATTCTGACATCCACCCCACCAGACTGTCCATCTCTTGCTAAGTATCAGGTTATATTCTGAAGACAGTGGCTGCAATCAGTATCAAGACTAGCCCTGTCTGACACAAGGGCAATTTTAGATAGGATAGTCTTCCCCTCCCTGCTGGGAACCTGAGGTCAGGAGGTCAGGGTTCATTGTAACCACTTCCTTGAGGCTGAACTGCAAGAACTGGGAACCACCATTTACTTGGATTTAGAGGCCAGCTATTTGAGAAATTTGGAGGGTTGGAAATTAATTTACCCAGAGGAGTATGGCAGGGTCCGTTCAATGGCCGCAGACAGATGATTAGTATCTATGTGGAATTTCTTTGTCAGTTACTGTTTGCTATCAGCATGTGTTTCAGTTCAGGAAATCGTTTCCAGGATTCCTTTGTTGAGGGTTTCAGGAAATTGATTTCTTGGAACAAATTGATAATTAAATGTTTCAGATTTCAAGAAGTAATTTGCTTAAGGATTAACATCAATGAATTGAGTATTTTCAAAAAATAATTCAGATCCCTGTAAATAGTCCATAAAAAACAAAGCCTCAAACTTGGTAGAATACAGGCCTAGGGTCTTTCCTACTTGCCAAATAAAGGTTCGAAAGATTTATCATTCAAAGGTTTTCTAATGTTACCAAGTCTGTGCCTAACAGACTGACTCTTCTTTGAAAGCAAGAACACTAGCTGGCTTCCTATGTAGAAGTAGGCCTTGTCTTCTTGTTGAAAATAATTCACATACATCAATCCTGATAGCTTGGTGGTGAAAGAAATTATTCTGGAGCGAAATGTAAACCCTGAGTGTTCAATTTCCTGTATCAAATATTCAGCAGCCCAATCCATCATAAATTGACAGATCAGTGTCAAGATTGCAATCTGCAACCCCTGAGCCCTCACAGACAATATTCCTAGATCTCATTGCTCTGACAATCTTAGCTAGCAAGTCTTCTATAGTCACACTTCTTTCCCATGAAGCCGGAGAATGGCTACACATGATACACAATGACCACTGGTCAAGGGGAGTTCAGGGCCATAGTAAACAATGCTGATTAAATCTCTACTGATGGACTTGAAAAACACTCAAAGAGATGATCACCAATTTCAGGGGATCAATAATTCAAGTGATTGATTGAAATGAACTACAGGAAAGTTCTATTAGTTGGAGACACTGAAATTGTCTATAAGGAGAGAACAATTTGCTTCCTTTTCCTTTTTCAAACCCTGAATAAATCTTCAAATTAATTTTCATAATATATATGCTAGTCAATAGAAGTGAAAATAGTTCTGGAAATAAACTGTTGTATTTTCATAATTAATTCAATGTTATTTGCTTATCTATGTTATTATTTTCAACTGCTGTATTAAAGATACAGACATATAACTAACGGTATGTCTGTCAAACAAACTGGTCTCTGAAGGCAAATAATATATAACAATCTCTTTTCTCTTTAGGCCAGACCAATTTTATTTCTTGTTTTACGGATCTGCCGGTCGTATTTTATGAAGAATAAGAAAAATTTAACAATTTATTTTCCCCGCTCAAAAAATAAAATCCCCATGTTTTTATTGGCAAAAAATGTAAATTACAAAAAAGGTTGTTTTTGATTGTCTTTTGCCCCATATACACTTCATAAATTGCCAAAAATGAAATACTTTTAGTATTTAAAAGGAATATTACTTTGACAGGTGATTTTTATTTTTATTTTTTTCCCTCCTGCCTTTAGGTTTTCTGAGGACAAAAATCCGTAAAATAAGAAATAAAATTGGTCTGGCCTTAAGGAAGTTAACAAACCAAAGTTGTCATCAAGTCCATACAGTCTACCCACTACCAAGTTCTCCCTCATATATAACTACAGTACCTTAGTCACCATTCTGTGTACCTGTAATTTTCTGTATCAAGGAACTATTTAAGCTATCCATAATTCTGTTGCGCTTGATCTTCAGTCACACATGGATGTAGTGACAACACTGACATGAAATCTGTTAGCCATTAGAAAGTGACAAGTACAACTAGCTGTTCTTTTCTTGTTCATTACGATATAAAAATATTATTTGGTTGTAACAATTGCTACATAGTCTTTGGTAGCAAATATCTGCCTTAATTACATGTCTGACAGGGAAAATGGACTTATTAAATGTTTAGTGTATATGTTTGACAGAGCAAAGTATGTTCAAATGTTGAACATACACTAATTTGCTGTAACATTTCGGTAGGTTTGTTCTGTATTTAATCAGCATATCACATATATTGTAAATGAATGTGAAATCGTTTTGGTTTTATGACAGTGATATTAAACATCATTTGATCACACTTAATCACTTCCTGAGTTGAATATATTCATGATACACACAAGTTGTTAAATTGTGTGCTATACTATACATTGACTGGCAAACATTATTATTCTGTTAATGTAGTTTAATGATGCGTAGTATGTGCGTCTTTCAATGTTAATTAGTGCTCAACACATGCTCTATTTGTTAAATGGTCTAATCCCTGTCATCACATTGGTAGTAAATTATGAGCATGAATAAAATAATGTAGATAACGCACTTTGTCGAATGTTTATAAAATCTGTATCATGAAGAATAATGACTTAACAATATGAAATGTGCGATCATGGCCAACAACGGTACGTACCAGTTTTTTCTTTGATTTCGCACAACACACTGAAAAGCGCTGGTTTCATCCGATGACAATTAAGGGTATGTTTCCTGTATTGAGAAAGCAAATATATATCATTAGCACACAGCTGAAACTAATAATCGCGATGGTAAAATTCCAGAAATCGAAATTCGGAAAATATTGAAATAAAAATTTGCACTCGCCTGTCGACCCACCTGGCTTGAGCCTCATCCAAGCTTTGGTCGGTGATAGTCATGATTTGTTGAAGTATATCCCCAATTTCTTGTTTGCGCTGGTCTGGATCGGAAGGATTCCCAGATTGCTGCATGTTTTGGTCGTATCCAGTCTGCTGAGGCATGACTCCACTCGCCATGCTAACTTGTCCCTGGTGAAGAAGTCTTTGTTGATCTTCCATGCCCGTTGTCGCAGCGGACGAGGCGAATCGAACTAAACTATCCATTTGGAGGCGTTTAGAATCAACACAGAAATACGTCACACTAAAGTGTGAATGTCAGTCCTACGTGCACACTGAATTTCCGCGTCGATTGTCTCCTACACATGCGTCCAAAGCTCGAAATCCAAACACCAAATTCACTCAGTCATCTTCATAATAATCACAAATGGCGACGGCGGTGTGCATAAA